ACACAACTAATGATCTCTGAGCACATTTCTGCTCTGTTCCAGCCACTGTGCGGTTGGGAACAGTGATGGACAGGCTACTTCATATTTGCTGTGAGAAGCGTATCATTTTGCTGTGTAAAGAGATGATAAGCACATTTACGTGGGGACTAAGTGTGAACTCTGTGGATCCTGGATGTGGAACTGCATTGTTGTGTGCTTTGGACTAAAGCCTTTGAGGAGTGGGTTGTTTTGACTGGCTTTGAAACCATTCGCTGCAAGTCCAAGGGATCTGAGACAGAAAATGCACATTCCTGTATACAAGAGCAATGTACGACATTGTTCCTGACTTCAACTTTTATTATTATTATTATTATTATTTGCTTTTTTATTATTTTATTTTATTTTACAATACTATTCAGTTCTACATAACAGCCACAGATTCCCTTGTTCTCCCCCTTCCTTCCCCCTTCCCCTTCCCCCCAGCCCACCCCCCATTCTCACCTCCTCCAGAGCAAGGCCACCCCTGAGGACTGAAATCGACCTGATAGACTCAGTCCAGGCAGGTCCAGTCCCCTCCTCCCAGATTGAGCCAAGCGTCCCTGCATAAGTCCCAGGTTTCAAACAGCTAACTCATGCAATGAGCCCAGGACCTGGTACCACTGCCTAGATGCCTCCCAAACGTGGCACATATACACAATGGAACACTACTCAGCAGAGAAAAACAATGACATCATGAGGTTTGCAGACAAATGGATGGATCTAGAAAAAATCATCCTGAGTGAGGTAACCCAGACTCAGAAAGACAAATATGGTATGTATTCACTCATAGGAGGATACTAGATGTGGAACAAGGATGCCTGGACTGCTACTCACATCACCAGTGAGGCTACCTAGAAAACAGGACCCCAAGAAAGACACAAGGATCGCCCAATGATGGAGAAATGGCTGAGATCTACATAATCAACTTTCATGAGTGGAAGTGGGAAGGGGAGTGGAAGTCCAGAGTTTCGTCGTTCTCTGTACTCAGCCTACCCATATGGAAACCCCAGCTCAACTCCCACTTAGTGTGACCGGGGCCAGTGATTTAGCCTCTTGTTAACTCATTTTCATTATCAGCAAAACATACTTGAGCTTCTTGGGAAGCTGCAGAGGAGTTGTCTAAAGAGTGTTGGTCTCAGATGAGTTGGTTCAAATGAACTGTGGGTCCTCGGTGTTTTCAATCAGGGTTTAGGTCAGTCTCACATCATTTTTTTTTTTTTCCTGAGGCTGTGGAAGGAATGTTGATCCGCTTCATCACAGACCCACAGAAGATTCAACCAGCCACAACCCCGAGAGACCCCCATTTCATCATCCGTAAGTAGAGATAGCAATGCTAGACCATAGGAGATTACCCTGAGGGTAAACGAGATGGCAGCCTTCTGGGCAGTCCACTGCCTTTCAAATTTATTTCTCTTCCCTCATCCCTTAAGCTTCAAAACCATTTGTGCAGATAGTATAAAAGATCAAGGCAGAAAAGGATGAAATATAAATCTGGAGAAATGAGTAAAATATGATGTAATGAATTCTCAAAGTTGCTTGTAACATTAAAAATTATTTTGGGGACCGGAGGGAAGGTTCAGCAGTTCAGAGCACTGGCTACTCTTCCAGGGGAACTGGGTTCCATTTCCAGCACCAACATGGCAGCTCACAACCATCAGTAAGCCCCTGGGGATCTGATGCCCTCTTCTGGCCTCCTCGGGCATCAGACATGCAAGTGGTACACAGACATACATGTAGGCAAAATATCCATACACATAAAATAAAAGTAAATAAATCTTAAAAAAAGCCTTTATTTTTTAAATAAATACTGTATATGCACAAGAGAGAATGACTTACCCACTTTCATTATTTCCTGTTGTTTATTGGCATAGGAGAGAATGAAATGGAATTTACTAAATGATCCTATAGCTCTCTCAAGAACCCGAACAAAACCCCAAATTGGGTTTTCTTTAGTTATTCTTGTTTTAAAGTGCAGGGTCTTTGCACCTGTGCTGCCGTTCATAAACAGTGAGAAACATGTCTCAAGAAATCCGGGCTCTCTTTCTAAGTTAGGAAGGAGACCTTTGCCAGCAGGGTGAGTGGAGGACCAGGGTGACTCCCGTGCTGGCCCGATGTATCCTCCCAACCCACAGACACTTTCTGTCCTTTTGGTTTCTGCTGTTTCACTGAGATGAGAACCAAGAAGGAGAAATGTCAGGCTAATGTCCCCATCCGATTCTCTCAATGACTGATGTAGCATAATAGCTCAAAAGTGGGGCACCCGAGAATATTCATCAAGGCCTTCCTAAATGTTTGGTGGTGTTAGGAACACTAGGCAAAGAGCAAACTCTTTAGTTTGGGGCATCACCTGTATACTAGAATGCCTTTAAAAACTCGACTTCAGCCGGGCAGTGGATGCGCACGCCTTTAATTCCAGCACTCGGGGAGGCAGAGCCAGGTGGATCTCTGTGAGTTCGAGGCCAGCCTGGTCTACAGAGTGAGTTCCAGGACAGGCACCAAAACTACACAGAGAAACCCTGTCTGGAAAACAAAAACAAAAACAAAAACAAAACTTGACTTCAAATTTCTTCTCTTGCCAAGGCAGGTTCTTTTTTTTTTTTTAAATTAATTAATTAATTAATTAATTAATTAATTTATTTTGGCAGGCTCTTTTAAATCCAGCTTCTTTGCTGCCATTTTTCTTCCCTCTGACTGGTCAAAATTACATTGCCCTCTCTGCCAAAAGCTCCAGTTTTGTCTGCAGGCCCTGGCTCTTGGCGTCCCCGGGAGGGAAAACACAGAGGTATGAAGAGATGGTTTTCGTTTTCCCCTTCCTCCGGTCTCCCTGTGCCTCCAGACCCAGTGTGGTGGGGGAGGGACTCCTTGGGCTTCTCTGGGTCAAGTTCTATTTGTAGATACAAGGCAGGGGTGGCCTGGATCACTGGGTTCTCTCGCTCGTCTCAATGTTCTGCCACAGTGGGACTGACCAGTTCAGAACCTCAAGGGACAGGGACAACTGTCACATTGCATCCCTTTCCTTCCAGAGCTGGCCTCCAAGCTTGGAAGCTGCCTGCTAGCCACCTCAGTCACTGACCAAGCCGGGCCTTGCAATTGTTTGAGACTATTCCCCAGGGTCCAGCTTCCCTCTGCAGCAGGCCGCTTGCCTTTGTCTAAGGACCCTCTCTCAGTCTGCATGGACAGGTAGGGACCGGCCTGAGTAGACACAAGAGCGCCCCCCCCCCACACACTTATTCCTATCAGAAACATTTGC